TAACAGAAATAAATTTGCTATTATATATATAAAAAATCTGATTAAAGTAAGCCTTATTTTTTTTTTTTTTATAAGTTTTTAGGTCACCTGAGTCACTAAAGTGACCTTTTGCTACCTGTATTCGTGCGTCGTCGTCCGTCGTCTGTCGATCGAAAAACTTTTGAACATTTTTAACTTCTTATCTGGAACAACTGAACCAATTTCAACCAATTTTCGCTTACAGCATTTATGGGTGAATGGAAGTAAAAAAAATGTGAAATTCATGACCGCTACGCACCTGGGACCTGAGGGGTGGGGCTAAAACGATAAAGATTAATTCAATCTTTAAAATCTTCTTTTTTCCCGGACATCAAGCAGTCAAACTGTTGGCATAATTGTAATAAGCATTGAGCCCTCAACCAAAATTTGAAATTCATGGCCTGGGATCAGGGGTTCTGGCGATAGGGCGGTTCTGAAATGAATATATGGTGAAAATGTATTAATTCTTTAAAAAAATCTTCTCATGGGTCCTTATCCGATGAACAGAGTATCTAGTTATGATGAAGAAAGTGGCTTTTCCAGAATTGTGAATTACATGGCCCCTGGGTCAGGGCGGGATTCTAATGATTAAATAGTGAAAATGCATTAATTCTTTGAAAATCTTCTCTGCTATATGATATTACGCCGAGGAACTAAGGATATACTTATAATGAAGAAGAGTATCTCTTCCAAATGTGAATTTCATGGCCCCTGGGTCACCGCTTTTTGTGCTATGACAGGGTTCAAATGATTATATAGTGATAATTGCATTAATTCTTTTAAAATCTTATCCTCTGAGCCTGGGTTTGTAGCCGATGAACTAAGACGTAGTTATGATGAGGAAGAGTGCCTCTTCCAAAATTGTGAATTTCATTTCCTCTAAATCCTCATATATTTTGCACATGATTTTGTATAATTTTTCACAATGTTGGTAAAATAGAAGTGGATCTATCGTTATGTGGATCTAATTCGGTACCCTTTGTAAAGACTGGTATAACTTGTGCATGTTAAAACTTTTAGGGAAGGTACAAGATATGATACAAGTATTTATAATAATATCATGTGTCACATATTCCTGCATTAATTGTGCAGTAAGTTTTAATAGACGTGGAACAATGGTATCAACACCTGTTGATTTACTAACATCTAGCTTATTGACTTAGGAAAGCAATTCATCACGACTTATAAGCAGGATACCCAAAATTTAGACTGTACAAAATTTAGATAACCTTTAAAGTCACATTCATCTTACCTACACCTTCAAGGAGTGTAGCAAAAGCATTTGAAAAATGATAATAAAACACCTCTCGTATTTCTTGTATATTCTGCTTGATATTATTATTTCTAGGCCAGTCCGGTCGGAATATAGTTTTATGGGGAAGAAGGTAATTTCTTTACTATATCTCATATCAGGCGTAAATTTTTAGATTGTTCTATAGATGATTTATAATGATAAATCTTGACATTTTCAATACTGTGGTTTCATCAATATTCGTGGAACACCAATTTTCGTGGATTTTGTTGTTGAGTCGATCCACGAAATCAAATGTTCATCGAAGTTTGGTGCCTCCATTTTGATTTGTGATAATCCATTAAAAAGCCTATTCTGACTTTCTTCAATATATGCGACCCCCCCCCCCCCTTTACCCAACAGATTGACTTTATAAACGTATTTTTTTCCATTTTAAGAATATTAAAAAAGGAAGAAAAATACTACTAGATGGTTATCTGGCATTTTTGAGTCAATATGATTTTAATATTCTGTACGGAAATAAAAAAAAAAAAATATCACTCAGATCTGTCAACAAAATGCATATGCCGATGAGTAGTATACACCAAAGGATGATAACCAGGTGTTCATATTTTAAATGTGTTATTCTCAAACAGTCTAAGGGCCCGACCCCAATTGAAAACACAAATTATCGTTAAATAATTACCACCCTCTCCCAGTACACACAGAAATAAAAAAAAAAATCTCCAACAGAATTAAGTTTTTTTCTTTCACATACATTCTATGTGAATCTGGTAGTAGCTATCAAACCTTCTACTGTTCAGGGATTATAGACGAAGTTTAAAGTTTTGTAGAACCAGGAGGAAAGGGATTGGAGTGCTTACTTCTGTAATTAGTAACCTGTTTTCCTTTCTACAGATCTACCCCCAACCACCACCTCCTGGCCCCTTTGATACCATATACCGTACTTGCATGTTAAAAATAAATAATTATTATACCATGTTTACATCAGGTTTTATTTATTTGGGTACTTTAGCACAAATCACATTGGGGGGGGGGGGGGAGTATCCTTTCTTGAGTTACTAACAATCCATGCACAAACAAAATAATCATAAGAAAAACTTTGTAATCAAGAAACAGAAACACTGTTAAAATACAAGTGAACACAATATACATGTTGAAATTTATATCTTTTTGGTACCCCTAACAAAATGCATGCACGTTAAGATTTTCAAATTTTAACAGCCTTCACACCACTGTACAGTTAAAAAGTCAAAGTATTATTTTTCTAGAAAATATACATGTATTTAATAAACACAGCTCTTCAAATTCAAAGGCAGGCTGTGAAGGGAATTCTGAGTAGGCGCAAGATATTTCCGTTCATGTTCCTTTGGCTGAAATCAATTCTGAAAACAAAATGAAATACAATTATAGAAATTTCTGTCTATGTTGAAAAACATGGAAAACATATACATGAATGTATATATTTTAATTCTGCTGTTTTTATTATCAAAACATTTCAATAATCATGCCAGGAAAATGTATAATTGTTTATACATAAAGCTAATATGTAGCAAGCCTGTAGGAAGCAATTACAGTTGGGGGGCATACATTTTTAGTTGGGGCGAACTATCAACTGCCATAAATTCCTTGACAAGCAAAAAAATAAATCAATAAATAAAGAAATAATTTTTTTTAAGTCATCAGAGTTTATTATTGAGAGTGCACAAGCATATAGTAGCTATGCTTTTTATAGCATTCTATATGTCTGCAAAATTATTGGGGGGCACCCACTGGTTCCTTTGGCCATGAGGAGCAAACCTTTTTACTTGGATGGTGAATACATGTGCTGCCTGAATGAATGAATTGTTCAAATTGTTTGGGAGTAGCTACAACACAATATACGTGTAATGAGTGAAATACATTATGGTTACTATTGTAGAATGAAATGACATTGCATTGTGCAAAACAAACCATGCTATACTATATTTTCTGAAATTCATAAAATAAATGGAAACAAACTTTTGAGACATACCTTTTCTGGGAAATTGAAACCTATAACATTGGCAAGAGCAGATTGCTATAGTTAAATTAAAAAAAAAAAAAAATAAAATCAAAATACTTAAGGTAACATTTAATTCTTTCACCTGTACAAAATTGAAAAAAAAAAAAGTGAAATGCTTTTTTATAATAAGTAGTGATCATACCCAGTGAAGAAATTGATGCGTCTATTTTGATAATTCTGGATGCTGTAAATGCCAGTTTTATCCATTCTTTCAGCTTACAACACCTGGCAGCTACAATGATAAAAAATGTACATATAAACAGTTTATAAATGCATATATATACATATAAGACTGACTTAATTTACCTGTAGTCAGGCGAATGAAAATTCAAATACTTTATCTTCATTTATAGAGAAATTCTACAAATTTACGGCCTAGTGATACAGATAGATAAAAGTTGTAAAAGAAAATTTAAAATATGAAGCACTTGTAAAAACTGTAATCTTAAATTTCATTTTTATTTTTGATTGATGTTTTTGATTGCCAGAGGTATAAATTAAGATAAATAGGGTCTTTTGCTTTTGTATTTACAGTGCACATACATTGTGAACTATGCAGTTTGACTTCACATATACACTACAAGTGTGACTGCATCTAAATTATTATTTGATATCATGTCACGCTGTGTTTGTTATATTATGTAACATGTTTGTATGCCGAAAGTCAACATGCATGTTAAATGAATCAATGATTGAAATTGTACATGACATGTAAGAAATATATTATAGTAATCCACAGTAATGTAGTAATTAAAATATATATGAATTAAATTGTTAATGCATTAAATAACTTTTGTATCATTGCATATTTCCACTGCTACACATATTGTTTCAAAAATAAGCTGAATGACAAGAATTATGTATATTCAGTGCAAATTAAGTTGTTAAAAGTGTGCATCACGCTATAAAATGTGTGGTTGGGGGGAGGGGGGTATGGCACCTTCAAAACGTCAGAGGTGGGATCAGGAGCCATGGAGGAGTGAGTACACCCGCCGTGTGCTCATTGTCATGATCGGGAAATAACGGAAAAATCCTTCGACAATTCAGTGTGAAATAATGGCCTAACAATTAGTATGAAAAACGGCAGTCAGCATTTGACTCAATGATAAATTGTATTTGCTGACTAGGTCATTGTATCGACCATAGAACTTACGAAATGATGTATTTAAACAAGATTGCTGATATTCTTGTTTCATCAACTTGTTTGTCAATAATTTACCTCGTTTTAGAAATTGTACATACGTAGAGCATGCTTTTGCTTATCGAATCAGCTGAGAGATATATACCCCGTATGCAGGTGATGAAGGTATTTTGCTGCATAAGTAAGGGAAGTTGACGATTTAAATGTTAAAGTCATCACGTTTATCATAAAGCTTGGTTGTTAGATTATCATTAACGTCTTTTTCAAGTAAAATATCCAAATATGAAACAGATGTGTCAGATTCTATGATATCGTTTATCTCACGCTCACCGGGATATATCGTATCGACATCAGAATGGAAATAAGCATTCTTAATTGACAATACGTCGTCGATATATCTAAATGTCGAGTTGAAGGCCACAGCAAATGTTTTCTTCTTTTCACGTATACAAATTTTATAATAATATTACTAATTTTATGGTAAGAATAAAACTAATTGCAACTCTGACTTATTTTCCATTATTTTTTCATTGTTTTGAAGGCTACAGACCCCATGAGTCAGGAAAAGTTACCACCATTACCATTCCAGCAGAATTCACAGGCAAACGAAAGGGTACATGCATTATTTTATTTAACAATTTGTAGATAATAGTTTATAACATCTCGAAAGTACAGTGTGTTTCACAATATATGTCACAGATCTAAAGGCAGAAAAAATTGTAACACACAAGCTACATATACATTTTATACATCATTTTAATCAACAGATATCCAAGATTAATATTTTAAGTCAGAGGTACCAAACACATTCTATTGCTGTTTCTATGGCAACGATTATCTCAAATGATTTGCTCCAGATTTTTACCCCTTTCTTGATATAATGTGTGGAAATAGCTGACCACTGCTTTGCACGTTTCACTGGATATCTGCCGGATTTCTCGTTTTATTTGTTCTTCAGTTCCCTTATCCCATCAAGATTGTCAGTATATACTGTATGTCAAATATCCCCAGAGGAAAAAATCCAAAGGACTGAAATCAGGTGAATGTGGTGGCCATGGCTTTTCAGTTCTGTGTGAAAGATAACGTCCTGAAAATGTGTCGTCTTGCCACTCAAGCACTTTTGTAGCTGTGTGTGGAGTAGCTCCATCTTGTTGAAACCAAACATTTTCGAAGTTGGTTGATTTCCGTTGAAGGGCTGGTAAAAATTTCCTTTTCAGCAAATTCAGGTAACGCTCTGCGTTAACACTCTCACATTCTTCATCAGAATCTTCAAAAAAATAAGGACCAATGATTCCTGTTGATGAAAGTGCAGCCCAAACAGTGCTTTTGTCCGCGTGCAGAGGTTTTTCCTCATTAAAAATTTGGTTTTTCAGAACCCCAAAAGCGCATGTTTTGTTTATTCACAGATGCATTTAAATAAAAAGTGTGCCTCATCTGAGAACCATATGCTGTCGACCAATTCCTTGCCCTTCCTTTTAATCCACTTTGCAAAATCAAATCGGCTCCTAATGTCAGTTGACTTTAGATGCTGCATCACTGAAATCTTGTATGCAGTAAGACACAAATCGAATCTCAGAATTCTAAATACACTCGAAACACTTACATTGTCACACTCCATCTCTCTAAACACTAATCTATCTGATTTTCTTGGTGTTTCCTCAATGATAGACCTCACTATGTCAATGTTCTCATCACTTCTTGACTTTCTTGGAGGACCAGGATTAAAGTGTCTTTCATCCTTTACACTACCTTTTAGTTCAAACTTCTTAACTATCCTTAATATCTGAAACCTAGACAGCACTTTGTTATCTGGATACTTTTTCCTGATCACACTCTGTACAGTTTTAGGATATCTGTGTTTGCAATACAGTTTTTCAATCTCAGATTTTTGTTGCAAGTTGTACTCCATTTTGAAAAAAAAAACCCTAAAATTATGACATAAATTATGACGTCATCAGTTACTTCATGATATGATTATTTTCCCGATATTTTCGCAATATCATAATTTCAGGTAAAAATGGGTTTCTAGGGTATTAAAGTTTCTTTGATACCATGCCTGACATTCTGGTTACACTTGTTTAGATGTGTGACATATATTGTGAAACGCCCTGTACAAGTAAATGTATTGATGTGCATAAAATTAAAGAAAAACCGAAAACGATTGATAGAGTATGATTTATTGTCTTAAAACATATCATGAATATATTTTCAGGCTATGAAAAATAAAGTTCAAAATGCAGACTCACAGGGTGATAAACAAAGAACTGATCAGCCAGCGGTAATTATCAAGAATCATGGAAATTATGCAAATCGTTAGAATTAAATGCTTCAAATATTTATTTTCTTATACAGTCCTACATGTAAAAAGATTTAAACTTGTACACATTCTGAACACATTTTGGTTTTATTAGTTTAAGCTCATTAATATTTCAAAAATACATAATAAGAGGTTACCAATTTATGTTTAATGAATTACTTAAAAATCACATGCGTTATAAAACATTGCATCAAAAGAAAAGATTTTCGCGTACATATTGGTTGAAATCATTGCACCATAATTTCACAGGGTTTCATTGACAGATATGAAAAAGAAACATTTTTTAGATTTCAGATTAAAACTCAGTCACCAATTAGTATTGACAACATGGCAACTTAGAATCACATCAAATTAAGCATGTTAAGACCCATTCTCTGTAATGATATGAACTTTTATATGAAATATATGGAGATAACGAACAGTATTCAAGCTCAAAAGTCCATTATACAATACAAAATAGGAGCAGTGCAAACACAGACCTCCAAACATCAGAGGTGGGATCAGGTGCCATGGAGGAGTGAGCATCCCCTGCCGACCGGTCACACCCGCCGTGTGCTCATTGTCATGATCGGGAAATAACGGAAAAATCCGTCGACAATTCAGTGTGTAAATAATGGCCTAACAATTAGTATGAAAAACGTCAGTCAGCATTTGACTCAATGATAAATTGTATTTGCTGACAAGGTCATTGTATCGACCAAAGAACTTACGAAATGATGACTTTAAACGAGACAGCTGATATTCTTGTTTCATCAACTTATTTGTCAATAATTTACCTCGTTTTAGAAATTGTACATACGTAGAGCATGCTCTTGCGTATCGAATCAACTGAGAGATATATACCCCGTATGCAGGTGATGAAGGTATATTGCTGCATAAGTAAGGGAAGTTGACGATTGAAAAGTTAAAGTCATCACGTTTATCATAAAGCTTGGTTGTTAGATTACCATTAACGTCTTTTTCAAGTAAAATATCCAAATATGAAACAGATGGGTCAGATTCTGTGGTATCTTTTATCTCAAGTTCACCAGGATATATCGTATCGACATAAGAATGAAAATAGCCATTGTTGATTGACAATACGTCGTCGATATATCTAAATTTCGAGTTGAACGCCACAGCAAGTGTTTTCTTCTTTTCACGTACAAGATTTTGGACAAATTCTGCTTCATATGAATACAAAAAAAGGTCTGCTAATAATGGGGCGCAATTGGTACCCATAGAAATTCCAATAGATTGTTGGAAGACCTGGTCTCCAAAAACCACATAGATATTGTCAATCAGAAACTCAAGCATCTTTTTAATGTCAACTTCAGAGTACTTGTGTGTACAATCAGAATGTTTTTTAACAAAATAATTTTGCAAATGACCAATGACAAGGTAAGTATATTTACGAGTTCCATTTTTATTATTATTTTATATAGGAGCTGTGGCGCGCGCATAGTCTCAGAATTTCTCTAAACTCTCTATGATAAAAGTCTTTTATGCTGTAAACTCAAATCAGGCAAAAATTTGTCGTTATGTGTCATGGTTACCATAGCAACAAGTCCTAAAGTTTGAAAAATGACATTTTTCAACATGTTTAGAGTCCCACAGTTAACGTTTGCAGGAAAGCAAACACGTGGCAATGACTATTTCTGAAAGTTGAAGGCCTGGTGTCTTAAATGCATGATAAACATGTTTGGTAAATCAACTATAACATACGTTACTATGGAAACAAAGTATTTAAAAGTAATTATTTTGCTCATTTAATTTTATAAAGTCAAACACTTAGGAATAAAAGCAGTTATAGGTTGAAATGCAAGCAAATAATAGACAAGAGATCCTTGTAACATATAAAAGGACAAAATATTATATTTTTTATAGGTTGGCAATGATTGCCATGGTTTTAATACCACAAAGGGATTTTTAATTTACCCTCTTAGTGTTTAAATCTTATCCTATCTTTTTGAAAAGCATATTTTTATATAACTGATGATTCATTTTCAAAGGCGTTGGTGTGGCCCTAATTTCAAATCTCAAAAAATTCAAATTCAATTCTTTAAAAAGAACGTTGCTATGGCAATAAGGTGAAAAAACATGCATAAATATCTAAAAAATATTCTGTTTCCTTGGATACGTACCCTTGTATGTAGATTCCTAACACTTTAACGATTGATATATATGAACAACTAACCTGAATTTTGACTACCACCCAATCTCTAACTGGATGCAAAAAGCTCGCACATAGGGTTTAATATTGACATAAAATTAACAAAATCGAACATTTTCTCTTCTTGGTAATCATAGCAACAGTGTTGTGTTTTTCAACAAACTTTATCAATATATGATATTCAACTTTATTTGGGTACAGCCCACTAATTGTTTTCCCATAGGCGGCAATGTTAACGTTTCTTCACTTAGCAATGTCCCTAATTTTCGTTCAGCATTGAGTGACCCCTCAAATCAAAGCACATCAAGTTGTCTTTCCTTGGTTAAAATCTCGAGGTGGCATGTCAGATTCGTTTTCTGGCAAAATGCGTCTGTCTGCGATAACCTCTGAAAATGAAAGTGAAAGTAGGGGATTTCAAGACTTCTCACTGGTGTTATAATACATAAAATAATTCTGCTGATCTTCTTGAAAAATTACATCTGCCAAGCTTTTTTGCAAGGGAACATACTCCTTATCAACAAGTATGAGGCTCAGTTTAATACCTTATCACAGTTTTTTTTAATTCAGGTCTGCAAATTAAGGAACTTGTAATTTTTTCTGCACTACTTTCTTCTCCTACCGATTCTAAAAATAATTAGAGGTATGTACCCAATATGAAAAAGTATTTTCTGGATTTTACAACATTTTACATCATAAGTCATACTACAGACTATGTAGTGACATTATGCCAAATTTCAGGAAAATTCAATCATTAATAAAGATTTTACACCATGCACAGTTCTGTATGCAAAATTCTTATAAAATGCTTCCATCTAGCCACAACTGCACCCAAATTTTAAGTCATCGGTTAGCTTATTAATGTACTTATACCATTTTTATAATCTTTCAAAACTTTAAATACATCAAGCAAAATCATAATCAAGCACCCATATGGGTCCATTTCTCTTATTTCAAAAAATCAATGCATTTTTGCACAAAATTTTATCATCCCTCACCCTTGAATTCATTGTTTCTCCATGATTGACAAAAAAATTAAGTTTACAAATACCCCGAAAGTGGTAAAAATAGAAAGTACTGATTATTTCCTGTCCATTGATGTATCATTCAGGAAAATTGGTGTAGGAATAAAAAAGTTATAAGCCTTTATATTCTTGTATACATTCATCTGTTTCAAAGCAATTTTACGCCAATGCAAGTTCACTCATCTATGACGTCATAATGACATCATAACAATGGATTGCTTATTACACATGTAGTGTTACTTTTCCCGTACTTTTAATTAAAGATGAAATTAGAGCTAAAATATTCATTACAACTATAAAATGATAAAAATACTTGCATGAGTAGATCAAATAAATAGTCTACTGAAAATGTTTTGTTTCCATGGTAACCATTTTGTAATTTGTAGGAAAATGAAAGAGAACTTTGAAAATTTTGAATTTCCTTACAAGTCGCTCATTCTGACTGACAACTATTAAAGAAATTTCAACTCTTATATTGGTTAATCTTAATATTTTATCATACACAACACTATGAATGTAATTGTTTTGAAATTCTTTTTAAAATATATTAGCTGTAAAATATATAGCATACATGTATAGATTAGTTTGATGGTCACTTTCATACCTCAAATATTCATTTAAAATCTACATTTTCTAAGCTTTAACACCCCCACCCCCCCCCCCCACCCCCCCAATACACACACACATACACACACAAAGAAGCTTTAGAAAATTCAACTTACATATTAAAAGTACTGCCATCATTTTACATGTGAAGACTCAAGATGTGTTCAAATGAGTTTGTTTTTACTGACTGATAGTTTTAAACACCATCTGCATGAACCTCAAAGTTGGCCTGTATCACCATGATCCTAAAAAAAAATAAATTTAAAAAATGGTGCAATAATTAATAAGCATCAAAAAGCACCTAAAACAATCACAGACAGACATCAAACACACAAATCCTACCACATTCCTTTTCTGCCCATAATTTGATATCAATTGAAAATTATGAATTTGCACTAATTAGTCTCAGCATTGTTAAATTACATGTAAATTAATAATACAGGTAAAAAGCATGTTTACTGACAATAATTTTACATCAGACAAATACATGTAATGCAGTTAATAAAATATATATATAAAAAAAATGTTAGTGTGTATGTTCACGCTCACACTGCTTAACTTCTACAGAACTGTAGCCTGACCGACTTCTTAGAAAGAATGCACATGTAAATTGTCCTCGCTCATGTAATTCTATTCCATGAAAATAAAAGTTTTCATTTACAAATATTGTAATAAGGCATGGAAACCTTTTTTTTTCTTTACCTCTTTCATAAAATGACAAATGCATATCACCTACATACTGCAAGACTCTGCACTAGGTAGCACTAAGCAGTTTTGATAACTTACTGCCATTCTACTTTCACTTTGACCTTGAACTTCACTGAATACCGATTCAGACCTCATTTGTCAATTTTTGTGTATATTGAAAATAAACAATGGTGGTGGATGTACTTCTAAAATAATTGTTCCTTTCCTCTGCTCTGAATTAATAAATTGTATAAAATCGATACATTTAATTTACATGCTACATGTGTACACAATGGGAGATATGAGCATAAGCTGTCTGTTCCTAAAGGGGGGGGGGGGGAGGAGGGGGTATTCACAAATCGATTTGTTTCAAAATATGTATAAACAAATTAAAATTTGCTTCTTTCATAAATTTAAACAATTGCAAATGATAGTAAACACCGAGTTCAAAACAAAGTAAAGATCTGTGAGAATTTTCTCTTACCAATAGGCTCCACAATATGGGTACAGCCCACTAATTGTTTTCCCATAGGCGGCAATGTTAACGTTTCTTCACTTAGCAATGTCCCTAATTTTCGTTCAGCATTGAGTGACCCCTCAAATCAAAGCACATCAAGTTGTCTTTCCTTGGTTAAAATCTCGAGGTGGCATGTCAGATTCGTTTTCTGGCAAAATGCGTCTGTCTGCGATAACCTCTGAAAATGAAAGTGAAAGTAGGGGATTTCAAGACTTCTCACTGGTGTTATAATACATAAAATAATTCTGCTGATCTTCTTGAAAAATTACATCTGCCAAGCTTTTTTGCAAGGGAACATGCTCCTTATCAACAAGTATGAGGCTCAGTTTAATACCTTATCACAGTTTTTTTAATTCAGGTCTGCAAATTAAGGAACTTGTAATTTTTTCTGCACTACTTTCTTCTCCTACCGATTCTAAAAATAATTAGAGGTATGTACCCAATTCTACCAGATAAGTACTATTCAAGGTGAGTAAAATGATATGTTTCTTGATTTAAAGGTAGTAAATTCCTAAAGCGGCAAAAAAATATCACTTTAAACAATTAGTACGTTATTTCCATGGTTACACTGCTAAGCAACAATTAATCAATTTTTTTTTTATGTTGTCGGTGTTGCAAGGTCCTAAGGATGTATTTGTGCCAGTCATGAATTTTTTTGGTTTTCCTCAAGATAGTAGCATTAACCCAATCATAGCAACAGATTTTGCAAGGCAACACTGAGTAACCATGGCAACCATGAAAGTTATTTTTAGAATAATATTGCCAATACCCAATTACTTAAGATCAGATATTTTTATTGTTTTCTTTAGTTGTTGATTGAGTTTGATCATGTAACATCTATCATTTGTGAATATTGAGCTTTTTCCAGCATTTTTCAACCTCTAAAATGTATTACAAATGTACCCATTGTTTCCACTTACTTAGAGATAAATTCTAAATAGTTTCTTTATAGCATAAGTGGCAACAAGGTGTCTTGTTTTGGGGAAAATGGTTTGTTTGTTTTTCTTAGTCTTTATTAAGGCTTAATAAAGATTCAAAGTAGTTGAAAATCTCAATTTTTTCAACTTTTCTGGCTGTTACCCTGGCAACCAAGACACTTAGCGACGAAAGTTTATTTGATATATGTTTCTGGTGTCAAGTTGTAATAATGGCGCAAGTATATTAAGGCAGTACCCTGATCATTTTTCAGCGAATTTAGACTTTTTCCGTAAAATGTAACATTGATAAATCGGAAAAGCCATAGATAAAACATTTACTATTATTATCTATTGTATAGACGTCATTGAGTCTTTGGCTGAAAGGAGCACTCCACTACGACGTCATCATGTGACGTCTATAAATAAAAAAAAATTGCCTTAACGAAAAAGTGAAAAGTTCAACACTAACCCGGGGATAATTTATTTCTTTTTTTGAAAAAAATTATGTAAAAACATCACGGGATCCTGAAAAGTGCTGCTAGAATCCTACTCTCCCGACACAGAAAAAAAAAATATTCCAAAGTTGCGCATGAAACCTTACCAAAATTTTCACAATTTGTACATACGATCAAGGAATTTTTATCAATTCATGTTAACCACACGATTCTAGCAGCACTTCCCAAGTACTATAGAATACAAGCTTTCGATACAAACAAAATTTATGTTTCAAAGTATGCGGCGTAGCGTTGAACTTTTGCATCGTTGTTGCTATAGAACGACAGAGGAAAGGCTGATCGGGATTTCAAAAGACTGCCTGTGTTCATTATAAGAAAACATGATAAGTATAAATCAGCGTACCTGATTCTTAATCTTTAATTCCTTATGAATCACACATAACATTTACGGTATATGCTTTAAAACTTCCATTTTATATATTTGTTGACATGAATTCTCGTCACGTTTAATTTTCACTCAGCAAATATTTGATCAATAGTTGTGACGTCATGGGTTTGATATTTTACCCCCGTGATATATACTTAGCTATTTATACCACCCCAAAACGACAAGATTTAGTTTATATTATATTATTGAATGATTCCATTCACTTTTTGGACCTGAAATTCAACTTGAGATATAGATATTAAGAAATCATTATCAATAAAGTTCACGTCATACAGCTTACTATGATGTCATACTGTATAGGCAAGTAGGATATCTGAGTGCAGCCTTTACATACCCGCGGGGCAATGTTTCATCAAAATCGGTGACCATGCGTGGCAAAAAAGTTTAAGGGGTTACAGAGAATCGCTATTAAACATTTAGCAGTGCAACTTATCTGCTGTTAAGCAGTTAACATGGTAGTTAATGTGATATTTTATTTTTCATTTTTTTCATTTTGAATCCCGAAAATATTTTTTTTTCCAATATGACAAAATTATTTCACATACAACAAGAAGGGAGTATTCAATAAACAGGCAGGTACATATTTCCTGTGAAGGTTTTATATCTCGGATCAGTGAAACGGTTTAATGTTTTCACTCATTTTTTTTTTTCCTTTCAATTAGTATTTGCATTTATGAATAAAGATCGAGTTGGCCATTTTACTGGTGATATTTTTAGCACTAGTACAACCTTAGAATAATATGCAAAATGTCCAAACTCAAAATTTTTGTAATGCAATACTGCCATACTGAGAAAAAAAATCACCACAGATTGAAATAATGTCTGATAAATTAATCATTATGATTGTTATAACAAATCTGAAACACTTTCTTGCTCCACAGCTTCAGATGCCATTTTTTCTCTAAAAAATTATTGACCAGAATACGAACTACAATTACCAGGAAAAATGCGTAAAACTTTCATAATCAATGAGATAATTTCCAATTTTGATAAATTGGTCGATGTTTAGTTTGTACGGAAGCGTATTAGTGCTAGGAAATCTTTTTTTTCTTTTTTAAAGTTTGAAATTCCAACATAAAAGTTGGATTTTTCAACTTTAATTCTGGCTTTTTCAATTTTAAAGTTAGGTAATTCCAACTTTAATCTTGACTTTTCCACCTTTAAAGTTAGTTTTTCCACCTTTAAAGTTGGTAATTCCAATTTTAAAATTGGTAATTCCAACTTTAAAGTTGGTAATTCCAACTTTTAAGTTGGTAATTCCAACTCTATTCTTAGAAATAACAAGTTTAAAGTTAGTAATTCAAACTTAAAAGTTGGTAATTCCAACTTCAAAGTTGGAATTACCAACTTTAAAGGTGGAAAAGCCAACTTTAAAGGTGGAAAAGCCAAGATTAAAGTTGGTAATTCCGACTTTAAAGTTGGAATTACCAACTTAAAAAAAATTACGTGGCATGAATTCGCTATTTGACTAATTTGCAATGAGATTCAGATTTCATTTTCCTCACATGAGCAATTGGTTTAATGACTTCAAGTAGTTATAGATAAATCTGTAGTCGTCTGAAAATAAATGTGTATAATGGTTTCAATTTTGAAACAGTCTTATTTTATTTTTGGAAATAAAAAAGTTTCAGTTCCAGAGTTAAAATGTGTAAACTTACGATTTCATTCTTACTTACTTACATTCAAACTTACATATCAGAAAAATAATCCATATCTAATTCTATATACTAGTAATTATGCATGAATCTAGTTTAAATAAATGTGTGGTATAATTCCACTTCATCCTCAATAATAAAATTAATATTCATTAATTTATCCCCTCATATACGGGGACTTTATATACCCATCTTTAAATGTATACCTTGCTTTATCTCATTTTTACATCGACCGGAAAATATACTGAACTCTGGTTAAAAAAAAATAATAATAAAGCTTGTAAGGGAGTGGGAAGCCGTTTAGGAATTATCTGTAACGATTCTGTCACAATGAGCACTGGCTTTGTTTGTCATTTGAAAATTTTAGATACTCAAAAGAGTTTTTAAATCATACTTTGCTTCTTTTTTCAGAAAAATAAGAATGACAAAGGCAAACAAATGGAAAGTCAGAAAGACAATGAAACAACTATTGAAAAGGTCAAAAGTCACCATTTGGCATGTGATAATTATTGTGTTACAAAGATGATTCTTTTTATTGAATATAACAATGCCCATTGTTACAAATTAAAGATGAAAAATATATTCAATAATGCTCTTATATTTTTAGGTTGAAGGAAAAGCAAGCTGTGCGTTATTGATTCTGACAGTAGGAATAATGGTAAATGCGTTGCTTTTATATTTTCACAAAAATATCCCCATGTACTTTTCCGAATTCAAAATGGAAGAAAAAATTGTTAACAGGACTTTAATTTGCTCATATCATATCGCAATTATTGTTTTGTATAATGTCAACGCTTTCTTCATGTTAATTTTCGCTGAATGTGAAAGGTGATTAGAATATTTTCTTCCAGTGTGCCTAAATGATTGCATTCAACAAATGCAAGATGTTTGCCTGAGGTCGATAGTCTAAAACCGAGGGATCTACAAAATGCATTTTGCCCGAGAACACAGTCAATAAATGTTATACATTTTTGACATATCTGTATCTTGTGCTGGCTTTCATGATGTAAATTTCATTTAGCAGCAAGAAATGCAAATAGATTTATAATTAGCTAATCCCACCCACAGTGTGACGTAAGCAGTCCAATATCTCATCGACAGGCCCAATATCTTATTTTTTATGACCTCTTACTGAAACATTGGAAATGTTAGATTTTTTAGTATAGATTTATATAGGAACTAATTTTTAAGGTATAACAAAGATTGATATTCACTAAAAAAAAATATTAGAATTGAGCGATCTATGACGAACATTTGTGTGTGTGTGGGGGGGGGGGGGGGGGGGCAATCTTCATATCATATCATATATATATATATATATATATATATATATATATATATATATATATATATATATATTAAACCCCCTTTATATCCGTTATATAGACAGTATGGAATAGATTATTGTTTTAAAAGTAAACTTATTCTCCAATACATAAGTTTGAAAGTTTTTTATGAAAATGAATTGTGAAAACTATTTTCACTATTGTTATCAAGGTTTTCGTGTATATAAAATAAAAAAAATCTAAAGATTATTTTTACGTATTAGTTGTTTTATGAGATAGTAATTTATAAGACAAGCAGACAAGTGTGTATAATTTACAAGTTGTGGAAAAGGGGGGGGGTTATCAGCTAATATTAAAGGAAGATTAATTGATTGATTGTTATTGTTCTACGCCGAGTCGGCAATATTTCAGCCATATTTCGGCGGTTATTTAAAGGAAGAATGTTTAATTCCACATGAGTAGTAGTTTTTGTGAACTATTCTTAGACTTCTGATTAGTAACTTTTCTTAACCAGGTACATGTAATGAAAGACGTGAATTGCAACTATTTCTCTATTTAGGTTACTTCGATTATATTAGTAACATGGTGTGTGATAGCAAGAAAAGCCAAGCTCTGTGAAAAAAAAGAAGCACTAGAAATATTGAATATGGATTCCTTTGTTTCCTGCTCTTATGATGACGCAAGGGAGAAAATTAAAACCATTCTCATAATAGGATGTGTTTCTGTTGCAGTCAGTCCCCTTTGTCTTCTCCTTCGTTTGCCTTTATCATATGCGCCAACCGGAAAATTTGAAATCGCATATTTGATTATATATTATGTTTTGGTATGTTTTTTTTAATTACTTAAAGCATCGATTAATGACTGTATTTGTTCTAACGTGCAAATTATGTGTTAATTTTGAAGCCTTTTAGTAAAGTTCGTTTTTCAAAAATAATCTCTCATTTTTTTCTATTGTAGTATTTCTTCTTTTGTCTTGTGATATCAGTTTTACTGTTCATTTACACGATTCCAATTCTGGATTTAAAAGCATCACAAAAACTTACGGTAACAATGTTCATTACTCATATTAAAAACATAAGAAAGGAATATACTATTGTACATTTTAATGGTTAAATTAATCCAACTGTATTTACACAATTAACAAATAATACATGTAGATCATCTCAATTGCAAAATATCTGTTTTTTCACTGTCCAGGATTATGGCACATTAAAGAAAGTGATGTTTAACTCCTTGGCACAAAAGTATACTTCTGATGAAATCACACGCAGTAATACTATGTCAGACAGATGGAACACATTTTTTATCAAGGTAATGCCCTATATATTGATATATATTTTATCATAAATTGTTAAATGATAGTTGGTTTTCATCAGCTCTTTTTTTATTCTGGTAAGTACATTTTTAGGTTTAACTCATTTTTGCATCACTCCTCTCAAATTGTTAGGAACTTTAATAAATGGAGCTAAAAGGGTGACTGAATAAACTCTCAAAAAGTATTACAATTGATTGAAGAAGTAGGTAACTATTCATCTTAACATCTGTTTAATAGGGTTGTAAATGGTAGTGTAGGATTAGATGTTTTACAGATTGAGGATTTAGAGAATTTCGTTCAAACGCGTAAAATTGTAAGGTATTAATTTACGATACTTTAATTTCAAATTTATGTTAGTTTTTTTCCCCTTACAGTGATATAGGTGGCACACAACAAGTTTAGATTCACATGAATTTAACTTTGTTTGGCTTTGATCTGCTTTAGTATGATTAGAAAACTAGTCACGATAAACTTCCAATGCCTACTTGTCCAGTTGATCTGCCAGAGGGGGTTTAAGTTTCCCAGAAGATGAGAGGCAAAAAGCTTTGGATTCATGCAATAAGGAGAAATGATGCTATCAAACATAATTTGATCTTAGATTTTTTTTTTTCAGTATCACTTATAATTGTTGATAATGTTTGGATTACTTGGATGAATTTCATGTATAGACAGTGAAGGGAACTGAATTTCTGGCCAGACAAAGAGCTGGTCGCCTTTTTCTCTCCGACTGATTTTTACAGAAAATTCATTTCCACACGAGTTCGTATTGATGGAACTGAGATTCCATAAAAAATCTAAGTCCCCAATTGCTCAGCAAGCAATCTTCTCTACATATAAAAATAGAAACACTGTCAAAGTACTTGTATGCTAAACTCCTAGAGGATTCTTTGAAATGTGTCCTTTATTTGTTGAGAGTCTGCTAGCGATAGACAGCTTGTTCAACGGAGTCACTTGTTAATTTCTTTGTCTGTTTATTGTTTCACGTCCCTCTCGAGAATTTTTCACTCATATGGAGATGCCACCAGTTGCCGGTGGAGTGCTGCAAATTTTGACCTATGCTCGGCACTCAGGGTCATTCAGCAGTGAGGGATCTTTTTCGTGTAAGCACCTACTTCGACACGGGTTTATATGGTCTCATCCGAAGGACCGGTCTCCACGTCCCACAGTGGGATTCGAACCCACAACTTCAGGATCAACTCCTTACTCCGCGACTCTAGAGCAGATGCTCAGCCTCGGCTATACGCGGGCGACACGTCACTTGTAAGTTCTAATATATTTGAATCCAGCGGTTATCTCATGGCAGACAAAAGATTTAATGTCCAAGATTGTTTTGCTCCGAAAGATGTAAGTGTTAATGTTCTTCATTTTTAAAGAAACGAAATAAAATGTCAGGGAAGACTGATTTGCGTGATAGCACAATTTCCAGCAAAACGAGTTCATATTAAACGGCTAATCGCGTTTGGAAATGCAAAGTTCTTAAAACACCCTTAAAGGTGTTTTGACATAGATTTGAAATTAATATTTTCTCAAATTTTCGATATAAAATCATGACTTATGTTTTTTATAGCATTTCACATAGAAATAAAATTTTAAAAAACTTATTTTATCTTGAAATTATTGAAAATACAAATTTCGGGACGCGTTCGATTGACACATCTATGCACTTTCACAAAGTAAACTTTATCCTTAATACTTAAGAAAAGTAGAAATTTTATTGTGCATCAATGAAAAATATTAAATTATAATCCAGAAAATAAAGAGCAGATATGTGAGAAAGCAAAACGACTCACCAGTATTGTCAGTCCGTGCTCAATGATGTGTGCAGAGTTTAACAAATTGAACACACCCGTGAAACGTTAACTGTTTTTATAAACAGGGCACGAGCTCTGTTACTGTTAATGTTTACGTTTCAACGGGTGTGTTCAATTTGTTAAACTCTGCACACATCATTGAGCACGGACTGACAATACTGGTGAGTTGGTTATGCTTTCTTACATTTCTACTCCGAATTTTCTGGATTATAGTTTGAATATATTTTATTAATACACAACCAAAATTTTACTTTTCTTAAGCATTAAAAATAAAGTTTGCTTTATGAAAATGCTGGCATGTATCAATCAAACGCGTCCCGAAATTTGTAGTTTCAATAATTTCCAGATAAAATAAGTTTTTTAAAATTTTGTTTCCGTTTGAAATGCTATTGCAACATATAAGTCAAGATATTATACCCAAAACTTGAGAAAATATTAACTTCAAATTTGTGTCCAAGCACCTTTACGTACAACTGAAATAAAATTAGCCAGTGAAATTGTATTTGTTTGCTTCACACTTAGTAAATTCAAGAAATGTTTTGTTTCCAAACATGCATACGTATATCTATCTTTTATGAAAATGAAAGTGAATGAATACAAGCTGTTTCAGAGTCAATACCAAAGTATGATGTGACTTCGTTTATGATGAAACAATTTTAATGGAAAGTGTATGTACTTTGACAATTTGTTAATGGTTAAAACAGACTTGTTGAAAATTTTAATTAATTCTGTTGTCATGGTTATCAAAGTTCTTCAAAGCAGTTTTTACGTATGCGTAAAAACATGATATTAATTTCTGCAACATTTTGTCTATGAATGCTTACGAGGGATATTCCAAAAAAATAATGACACTTGGCTGTTTTCAGCCACATTTATTAATATTTGATTCTTTTATTCGTCCCTACCCTCACCCTTGGACTGGATACACTTTTTGGACCATCAATACATTTCTGGAAACATTTTATACTCCTCAATAGGGACACCAATCAATCATGTACTGATAAATTGCAGACTCAATGGTATTTCATGATTAGTATCTTTTTCCAGATAGATGGAATTTAAGTTTTGGGAATAGAAAGGAGTCGCATGGGTCTAGATCTGGAGAAAAAGGGGGAGGATAGGAAAATAACCTGAACTTTTTCCGCATCCAAATACTCGGTCACAATGCGTGCTTTAATTGTGTGCAGGCGCATTGTTGTGCAAACTTCGGAGATACTTCATACCCGTTTTGTGGCGATGACGTAATATTTCTTCAGTTTTTTAATGACAACATTTTTTTTATAGAAGTTACCTTTGATTGTTTTGCCCTTTGGCTCAATACTTTGCATGACAGGTCTTTACTGTTTGCTTGACAGGGCCTTTATATGGCCTTTAAGAAAATAACAAATAAAACATTTTTCCCGATTCGTAATCTTTTAAAAATACTAGAACGTTTTGCATTCGTTGGTGCCTAGATTCTGTTAGAAATCTTACGTTTTGGCTCAAAATGGTATACCCAGTTCTTCTCACCAGTAACTAAATTATCATAAATCTTTTTGATTTATTTTGGATACAATTTTAATAATTTCTTTGCGTTTTCAATACGAACTCTCTTATGTATCCACCTAGCTTTTATCCTTCTAAGCTTTAGTTTTTTTTTCAAATTACCATGAACACGTGCTAACGACAAGTTTGTCATTCAAGCCAATTGCCTCAAAGTATATCTTGCGTCTTTCTGTAAGATTTGGTTGATTTTTACGCTGTTATTATTGGTTGTAACTGTTGCAGGGCGACCTTGGCGAACAGCATCTTTCTGGTGTTCGTAATCTGTTTTAAATTTAGAAACCCAATTACAAACACCTATAAGACATTTGAGCATTCTCATAGATACCACAGACCTCACAATAAATATCTACTAGTTTAAGGCCATGTAAGGACCTACCTTTTACATAGGCCCTAATTTCAAGTGCTCTTCCTCCAATCATTTTGAGCATAGTGTAACGAATAAGCTATAGAGGAATGTACACTGTAGCTAAGTCAGTGAAAATGTAAACATGAAATTTTCTTCCGCTACAGTTCAGTGATTAATCTAACGTGTCAATGTGGTTTCAGTGATATGTTCATGAATTTGATTTTTCGTACATGCATTTCCTTCGACTTGAAATAGCTTTGAGATCTTTCACTGTTTAAACAACTAAATACCAACAGAAAAGTTGCCCTTGAATTGCTAGAAGTAGTCATGAGTATTGTCTTGCTCTAAAAATCCGTCAACGATGTTTAAATAGGAGACAGTCTCCTCTGATATTTTATTGTATTTTGTATGAAAGCGGCTTTAACTTCAATTAGAGTACTTTGGTCCAATATGACATCAGGTGAAGAAGTTATGAAGGATTCAACTTTGAAACAAATATTCTGCAATTAGAGGTTTTAACATTAATATTTTTCTTTGAACTTTTTTATTGCCACTGGCTCAAATCATTTACCATGCAAAATAGCATTTACAAGAATTTCAGGCACATGTCTTGTTAAATTTTCAGCAAGCTCAAAAATCAGTTCTGTCAGTAGCCTTACAAATTCTGCCAAAGTTGAGAGAGTGAATTTTCTTCCGTCTCTCAACGGGCCAGATTGCACTTTTACTCTGACCATGTCTAGCTTAACTACGTGTATATTATCACCTGAAATTTTTGTTTAATAGGTTATTTTCAACACTAGAGTCTGAGATACTTTACAAACTTCCTCTCAAATATGTACTTCACATTGCTATCTACACTTTTGTATATTCTTCCGAACTTTTTTCATTGTCTCTTTCTCACTCCTCCTATCTGTGTGTTTTGATAATATCTTTAATCTTTTCATAAATAGAAACTTGTATACAATACTCCCTTCTACTCTTTCTACAGAACCATTTTTTTTGTCATTTGCTTCAAGTCTAAAATATGTTGAAAGGGAATGACTCATATATTTACTGATACAATTACTGTTCATAGCTGTCAGCATTTGACTGAGAGTAAAGGTTGTATTTGTTGACAAGGTCATGGTATCGACAACAGAACTTTCGACATGATGACATCAAACGCGACTGTTGATATATTTGTTTCATCAATTTGTTTATCGTTTGAGAAATTGTTTATACGTAGAGCAGGCTCTTGCATGATAGGGTACATTGCTACATAAGTAAGGGAAGTTGACGATTGAAAAATTGAAGT